ACCTGCTCCTTTTCACGCCCTCCTCTCTAACATTTTCTTCATATGTTTTCTGCTTGCTAAGGCCACTTTCTACCACTCTAAATTCCAGCATCTGCCTCTAACCATAGGAAGCTCTTGGCACCTTCTCATCCCTGCTGAATCCTTCCCCCCACCCCTCCCCCTCCTCTCTGTGATGACTTCAGTCAACCCATTTTGAAAAGAGGTGACGGCATTCGATCCTCGTTTGTTAAGTCAAATGACATGCTGGTCCTGCTCACACTGCCCCTACCCCTATGCTTGACTTCTTCTCCCCTATCTCTCCAGAGTGAAATCTTGCGACTTGTGACGGCCGCCGCCCCCACAACAACCTGCTCCGTACCCTATCCCCTTCTCGTCTCAAGACCATCTCCCCGGTTGACCTTCTCCCTACCTCAAGCGCTCATCAAACTCATCCTTTTGACCGCCCGTGGCTAGTCCCTTCCGGTCTTTCAGAGAGCGAAAGTTGCAAACCTCTCAAAAAACCAACCACTCGTACCCTCCTGATTGTCCAACAACTAAAGACCAGTATTCCCGTCTTTTTTTCTATCCAAAAAACTATTTGAGCGTGCCCGTCTTTGCACAACTCTATTGGCTATCTTCTCAGAATGACCTTCTTGATCCAACAACCAGTCACGGTTTCAAGACTGGTCATTCACAATGAGACTTGCACTATTCTCTGTGGAACGGAGGTCTCCGCACTGCTAAGCTAACTCTATCTCCTCCCGGCTATTGTCCTTCTAGTCCTGTCTGCTGCTTTGCTACTGTGAAAACCTCAGATCCTCCTCTGCACCCTATCCGAGTGGGCATCTACGGCGCGGCTCAAGCTTGCATTTGCGTCCTCACCTGACCGGTCGATCCTACACAGTGGGTAGCGAGAGTCTGGTTCCGCACCACATGCTCTCACCACTCGTCGTCCCCCAGGGCTCAGTTCTAGGCCCTCTCCTATTCTGCTATACCAACAAGTCACATTGGCCTGTTATCCTCAACATGGACTCTCCTTCATTGCTAGCAGATGACACACAACTAATCTTCTCATTTCCCTTCTGATTAACCAGGTGGCCGAATCGCATCTCTGCATTGTCTGGCAGACATATCAGTGTAGAGACGGATCACCACCTCAAGCTGACTCGGCAAGACGAGTGACTTCCTCCGGGGGA